TTTATAAATTTATAAATAATGCATTGTCGTTAATTTACGTATTTTTATAACCTTGTAAATAAACAATGTAATAACATTTTTTCTTATCCTTTGCCGTGAAAAAAAATGTATAAATCCTGTTCCACGAGTTTTGATTTCATTAAAATTCTAAAAATATCTTTTTAAAATAATAAAATTACCGTGGAATTTTACAGTAATAGGAATGTCAAGAGAAAAACCGTACTTTTGTTAAACCGGGGATGGGGAGTGGAGCAGCTTTTTTAAACTTTGTCATAAAAATAATGTCCAGCTTCCTTCTCGGTTAGATGAAAGAAAATAAAATTCTCCGGTTCCGTGGGAATAATTATTATTTATTTCATTTTATTTATTTCCTTTTTTTTTCTTTTTTTTTTCTATATTTTCCACGTTATTTGTTTTCGTTTTCGGTCGATTACTGTTCTGCCAAATCAGATTGTGTTAGATTAGTTTTGCTGGTGCACACATCAACTACTCTCGTTGTAACATCTTGAGTTAGCTGAGGGGGGCATAAAATGTTTATTTCACACACACACACACACACACACACACACACACACACACACACACACACACACACACACACACACACAAAAAAAATCAGCTACCGACTGCTTGATGCAAACATGAGACTACTACTACTACTACTACTACTAGTAGTGGTGACCGGTTAATGTACACCGGCAAATTAATGCCTGTTTCATTAAATAATATAGACAAGTTTTGTCTATTTATTTTAAGTAAATTCCTTTCATATTGTCTGATAAGCTTAATAATATTATCATTGAAAGATGAAAGAAAAACGCTATATTGATACATGTTTTTTAATCCTATCTAAGCTTTCGTCTTACATAAGCCATTATCACAGATGACAATTACATTTCAATATATTAAGCAATACACGGACAAAACAATAATGATAGTCTGTTTTTGTTACATGAAAGATTTTCAAGCAACGACAAACTAGTGTTTACGAGACGCGGAAGCGAAAATCGCTCCGCACCGCAGCTCGTGACGTCACACATGACCACGCGAGAGTGAAAACAAGAAGTATTAAGTATGGGAAGACGTTGGTATAAACCAATGGCTTCTGTTATCAATTATAGTCATTTAAGAATATTTGTGGAGATTTTGTAGTTTATTTTGTTCAGGTTAGGTTTCAGCTATTTTATAGCTTCAAGAATTTTTAGTTTGTGTTTATTGTTTTCATGTTCAAGTATGTGTGTGTGTGTGTGTGTGTGTGTGTGTGTGTGTGTGTGTGTGTGTGTGTGTGAGAGAGAGAGAGAGAGAGAGTTGTAGATAGGGATAGTGAGCAGATAGAGGTTGTCTGGAATCACAGTATCAGTTCTGTTTTTCAAAATAAAACGACCCCTACCCCTAGAAGTGTTAGGCTTTTTTTTATGACTGCATATGGTAAATATATATATAAAAAAAAAACAAATTGGAAAACGTCTACTTTGACATGTTTCGCTGATGAACTGGCGTCATGAGAAAATTAATTTTATTTCACAAAAACAAAACCTACAAAAGAAAAAAATGATTCACGTTAATCGGTTCAATGCTTATTTTATATTGTATTCGGCCCACACAATGCAGATTTGCATTCATCAAAAAATTACTATTGAATCCGGTTTCATGTACTTCTCACCTAATTTCTCTTTGTGATATTTACTTAAAGAAGGAATTTGCTTGAAATTTTACTTAATATTCGGCAACATTTTTCTGTTTACATTAGCGACACCAGTTTCTTCAAATATTTCAATTTTCTGAAATTCCTGTTTGACATTTTCTTAAAGGATAGAGTTTCCTTGTTTTCTTTAAGTTCTTTTTTAAACATTGTGTTCCCAATCACTTAATAATATGTTTCTCTTTTGAACTTTGATATTTTACTTACTACCATCTTAACTCGTCTGAAAATCGTATGAAACTCAGGTTACGACGGGAGCCACCCTTTCATAGGATTTAACGTTGCTAAGCGTTTTTTTTTCTCTGTCTCGGCAATCTAGGCTTCCAGCACTTTACTGAATAGGTAATTTGCTTTAGGCTTTGTTTTCTTTTTCTTTTTCATTGTTGTTGTTTTTATTCGAGACTTTATCTGGATAAGAGTTCTGTCTATATTTCTGAGATGAGGTATTATGTACACTATTTACATTATTCGGACTATTGTCCTCATCTTTGTCGCCATATTTATTAAAACGGCCGTTGTGTGCTCCGGCCTTCTTCAGGTGGCTGGAATGTCGAACTGAACCCTTTATTTCGCTCACTGGGGTAGACTGTTCTAGTTCCACGTGCCATGTCTAATGGATGTCAGTTATCAGTTATCTCCTGTTAATTCCCCTCTCCAAGTTCTCCACTGCCTTAACCAGGTATTGAATTAAGATTAGACTGTTTCCTGAGTGTTATTGTCCTCCTCTTGTACCCGCCTATCCCAGTGTTTACATAATGTGAGGATAAGAGTTTTAGGTTTTAGCAAGTTTCCGTTGGCTTCATCAACTGTTTTTGTTTTTTTCTTCAATATATATATATATATATATATATATATATATATATATATTGTCATCCACAGACAGACTATTTCGCTGTTTCACAGCTCATCAGTGTGGCTAGACATCAGATTGCCTCAAGCCGGTATATATATATATATATATATATATATATATATATATATATATATATACAAAAATTGGGGTTGGTATGAATATGTTAGGCCGTGTTGTCCTTATCGTGGTGAATAGTAGGGGAGTGAGATATTGAATATAGAGGGAAATGGTTATATGATTTGGGGTGGGGAAGATGTTAGTGCTGGGAGATTTGTCGAGATAGGATAAGAGTGTGGGAACAATATTTTTGAATATAAAGTTATTTTCACAAAAAGTTTCGCACAGGGAGTACTCAGACGGAGATCGGATTTTTACTAATAATACCATCTACACCAGGATTCTCACCAGCCTCAAGAACTTGTTGATTCTCCCCGTCCTTCTGTTTATTTCTCGCATCCGCTGATGAAGGACACAGGCGTGCCCGAAAATTTTACCTTCATTTGTTGATTAATTCCAGTTTTGTGAAAACATTGACTTAATAAAATCTGAGAGTTTATCGTGCACTTTGCAATGTGCCTCAACATTTGATTATTTCCAGGGAGACTTGTAACGCGCGACCGCACCATTTTCCCGTTGCACTAAAAGACAGAAGATCAGGGTGGCTCCCTAATGCCTGACACGTGCCCGAAGGAGAACTGAGCATATTTTGTTCCAATTCCATGCACACATGGGATTGCCCCTTAAAATATGGTCTTGTACCATATTCTGTGTGGGCAGGCATCCGAATAAATACCGAGTGCGTTTACTTCGTAAAATTACAAGTACAATATTAGTCACTTAGCTAGACTATGTATACTTACCGCCGGATTTCTCCGCCTTCCTTCACTCGTTAACTGACAGAAATTTCAGTTCTGTAAGGGATCCAGAACATTCGTCTAAGGAACATTGGTTTAAGAATATTGGTCTAAGGAACTCTCGGTTAACGAATATACGTCTAAGAAATATTTATCTAAAGAATTATGGTACAATGTGGCTTGTATTAATATACAAACAATGCGTACCAATAAATGTTCATAAGCCACATGTATCATTAGTAATTAATGTTGTTATAAGTGTCTTAAATATTAAAGTATTTTCTACACAAACAAATTGTTAATCTATTTAAAAAATAATTATAGACAAATGGTTTTTAGACGGGAATTCCTTAGACAAATGTCCTTAATCAGGTTTCGTTTGGACCAATATTCTCTAGACAAATGTTCCTTATACCAATGTACCTCAGACCAATATTCTTTAGACCAAATTTTTATTTACTATTTTTCATATAAAATATTTTTAGAGGAGAAAAATATTAAATCCCAATGATTTTATACAATGAAAGAATATCTACAAAAGTAAACGAAATTATGTTAGTATTTGACTCCACCACAAAAATTTAACTGCGACAGAAAAACTCATTTAACTGGGCGAAACAATGCAAGACTAGAAATGGAAAAAAAAGTCAGAAATGTCTCAAACTCATCAGAAAACTGAGAAACCTGACACCTAATAGCGGGGAGGGATGGAGTATAAAACAAGAAGGAAGGGGATAAACAAATAAACGGGCCTATCTGCTGGTATGCCTTAGCTAAGTTAAACAGAAATGGACCAAAACCAATCCGTGTTAAACTACCCTAAACCAGACTGGGTTAATTATGTCTTATGCTAGAGACTCAAAATCCTTTTGCCTAAGGGACATCCAAAAAACATTCTATATATATATATATATATATATATATATATATATAGACAAACTTGTTTGTCTGACGATCGCAAAAGCGTGAAACCCAGGGTCACAAACTCACATCAACCAAATATGTTAGCTCTATCGCTGATATTGAGCGCTTTCTAATAAGTACTGCGCATATAATATATAAATAATAATATATATAATATATTACATATATATATATATATATATATATATATATACATTTTTTCACACACACACACACACACACACACACACACACACACATATATATATATATATATATATATATATATATATATATATATATATATATATATATATCCAAGCACAAAACACTCACCCACCTTTCGCCAAATTTCGATGAAAAGAGTCATACTGTTTTGAATATTATCGAATGTTTGAGTCAGAGATTGGAACGAGCCAAATTAAAGATAGAACAATTATAACCAGTTTTCTCTCTTCCCCAAATTTTGGCCCTGTACCATATTTAATGTATTCGCCATTAATAGTTAATTTTTTATTTAAACAAGCTAGTGTTAGTGAATTCAATCCTCTGTGAGGACATCAATAATGCCGTTGTGTGTTGAGGTTGACTGCTTTAAATAATTGCTATGACTATTTCATTGACTTTCGTTTTCTTAGCTTTTTCTAATTTAACATTTTTTTCCTTTTCTTGCAGTTCACACCTTGCCATGAGATTGCTGGGTCGGTCAAAATTGAAGCTGACCATCTTGCTGTTTCTTATTACAATCTCGTTGCTTCTTGGTCGTCTCACCATTTCTGGTCTGGCTTCCTATCAGGATTACATTGGACGACAAAAGCATAATAACCGTCTACCCAGCATCAAATTGTTCGACATTCCATATGAAGCAATCAAGCAGAACCAACCAAGCGACTATGACATCGAGACATTTTCTCGTGTTAGGCCGAACGCCACCAACGCTGATATCGTCGAATCTCTCGACATCGTCACAAAGCAGATTGCCAACAAGAATATTAAAACAAAAAAGACTACGTCAAATGGCGGAGTTATTGCGAACAATACCGTCACTTTGGTTGTTAGTCGAAAAGGGATAAAAGAGCAGCGTACTATTTCTGTAAATTCTACTTTTCAATTCCGGAATAAATCTAAAGCATCTCAAGAGAAAATGAACGTGTTGGCGGCAACACCAACAAATAACAATGGCGTTCAATATGTTCACGTTGATGTCGTTGATAATGTCAACATCTCTCTCGGTTTTCGTTTTAATGTGAGCAACGGCCATGTTACCCAGGCTAAGACTGATACGCTCAAGACGACGCCGAGTATGACTGAAAACAAGAAATCATCCAGCCTCCCAGGTAGCCAAAGCGGTGTCGACAAACTAGACGATGAAATAACCAGTACGGTACCTTCATCGTCAACAACCCCAGAACTCTTGAATCCGCATTCGTTCCAATTCATAATGGATGCCAATGATTTATGCTCTCGCAAGGAGCCGCCTTTCCTCCTTATTCTTGTAATGAGTATACATGATCACATGGACGTCCGGAATGCTATACGACAAACCTGGGGTGCCGTGGCAAAAGGCGGGTCTTGGCCAGGCCGTACTGTGGAAGAAACTGTAAAACTTGCTTTTTTACTCGGACTCCACCAGTTCCCCGAACGAGAGAGCCTCCTGGTGACAGAAAACGAGAAATACGGTGACATAATTCAGGAGAATTTCGTTGATTCTTATTACAATCTGTCCATCAAGATGGTGATGGGCTTGAAGTGGGCAAGCCAGTATTGCCCAGGCGTTCGCTTCATTTTGAAAGCAGATGAAGATACGTTCGTTAACCTTCCACTACTTGTGGATATCCTGCGCCAACCGGAGACACCCAGGGATACTATAATTGGCCGAATCATGCCAGAATCTAAAGTTTATCGCGTAGGGAAATGGAGCGTCGATAAAAAGGCCTACGCCGGAAAGGTTTATCCACCTTATGCTGCAGGTAAGTTTTAAAGCTATTATAGACTTTTAATAAGCTTACCTTACTCTGATGCAAACGATCGAAAATGAAGCACCGAGCGAAAATCTCGTTTGCTATCTCTCCTATATCCAGTTCTGTCCACCATTCATCACAAGCTCGTTAGGTGGGTTATGTGCCGTTTCTTCTGTCCCTCTTACCTTCAAGATGTCCTCTCAAATTTTCTAAACCCTCTTTCCTCATTATGTGCCTTAGAAATTTCAACCCCCTCTTCCTGGCGCTAAGTATAATTGTGTTATAATTGTCATTGTTCAGTCCATGATATTCTCAGCCTCCTTCTGTGGGACCACATTTCAATTGATTCAAGTCTATCTGTGATGAGATTTTCCAGCATACATTACCACATCGTAGGACTGATATTACATGAAAATTCAATATTATTTCTTTGTTTAAAATGAAATTTTCCTTTAGAAATTAAAATAATGTTAAGATAAAAATATCGCCGATAGATAAATATGGATGAATCGTTAGCTGATTATTTCCACTCTAAATATTTCTTGCCATATTTCAGATGCGTGTAACATAGTCGAAAATTTGAGAGTACATGAGCTTTTTATATAATCCTCAATGTACTATTAAGTCTCCTTTCATTTTTTTACAAAAAATATATCAGATCATTACATAAGTTTGTGCACAATATTCATTGTAATAAAAAAATGGCCGCAACTTGACAATAGCGTTTGTTTTTCTCTAGAAATTTTGGAAAGGAGTAAACGTCGACAAACAGACGTTCAGAAGGTTTATTTGGATCGTGTTCCAGCTCTTCGGACGGTGGAAAAAGTCGTTTGGCAGATTTTGACAGGGTGATTTTAACCTAAACGATCAACCACGCTCCAGGTGATCTTCCGACGTCGATGAAGACGTTCTGCTTGTCATTGTGAAGAATAAACCGAAGATTTCGACGGAAGAGATTGCTAAGAGTTTGAAAATCGATATCTCAACTACCTTTCGCCATTTGAAGAAACTTTAGTTTAAAAAATAAAAAAATACAGCCAACTCTGGCAAATCGAAAAGATGTCACTTTCTACCACGATAACGCAAGACCTCATGTTGCAAAACAGACATTGCAGAAATTTAAAGATTTTAAATGGGAACTCACCGTATTCTCCTGATTTGGTTCATTCGGATTTTCATTTGTTCCGGTCTCTACAGAACAATTTAAATGACAAAATGTTTGACTCTGTACACTCAGTCGAAAACTAGCAGACAGCTTTCTTACAATAAATAAAAACAAAAAAAAAACACGAAGTTTCTACAAAAATGGCATCAACAAGCTAGTAGAACGGTGGGAGACAATTGTTAAAAATAGGTACCTCCAAGAAAATGCTAAAAAAATCAGCATATCGCGATGAAAACATTCTCCAAATATAATGAAAACATAGTTTTATCGTCAAAATCTTTATGTTATTATTAAGAGGAAGGATCAAAGTATTTTTTAATTATTTAATTAATTTTTTTACTCCTTTTTAGAACATTCGAAATTTTGATTAAAAAACTTGTTTTTCTTGCGTCAACGTCAATTTTTAGCATAACAAATTTTGGTCTCTTTTTTGCGATGACGGACACATTAATTTGGAAATTCGTGCAAAAATCAAATAATTGTCAGATTTAATGAAATTCTCAAGATTTATTCACAAATGAATGAAATTATTTATGAATTTCTTTTATTAGAAAATCTTAGTAAAAATATTTTTTTTCGATGTGTTTCAGCCCCTTACTTAATTTTATGAAAACTTGAGAAATTCTATGAGATAATTTTTAGTGACTATATTAGTTAAAAGAAGAATTTAAATCAACGATTTTTTGCAAAATCGGACCCATATTTCCCAAATAAAGTTTCAAAAAAGTATATTTTATTTTTGAAAGATGTTTTTTAATAAAGAGGATTATGTTGTGCTGACAGATTTGTCAATATATTCGATTTTAGCGATTTGAAATAAAAATTAATCCAACCAGTTTAAATTCGGTTTGAAATACAGCAATTTTTTTTTTTTTTTTTTTTTTTTGCTTATTGAAAATATTAAATTTAATCTATTACCTTCGAATTAAAACTAAAATAAAATCTTCGAGACATATTTTTTTTTATTTTTAAAATGCATTTTAAACCATAGTTTTCGCTTTTTGAGCGATACCTAATTTTAAGGTGTTAATTAAACTATCATACTTTTCTGTTTGATATGACTTTATTATATTTCTATGTATTAAAAATGTGAAAATTAAAAGGATATATTGACTTTCATTCAGAATGAAGAGAAAAGACTATATAAAAAACAAGAAAATCAAAACATAAACAAACTTTATCTTGTTAGCAAAATTAATTCTGCTGATTACCAAAGAACAAATATGGCCGACATATATGTTTTGTAAATAATTGTTATACCTATTTTGTATTTTATTATCTATTGTGATGAATGTGTTTGCAAATTTCAAATAAGAGTATTTTTAAGCTGAGTAAAAATTTCTGAAAACTTGTACTTGTGTATAATGCGCAATCCCTTTATGGCTTTTATTTTCGTTCAAAATGACTCGTATTATACACAAGAAAAAAATGCGAACAAGTACATTAATGGTCATCATTATGATAGAATTCATTGGTGCTAAATAACTGATACAAACAATTTACACTTAAATAATTAATGATACATACTTCGTCAATGATTTATAAATGCCAAAAGTAAATCTGCTTCATTTTTTCTTTGTACTATCCAGCAAATGTGATCGAGATGTGACTGACTCACTACTAACCCCTCTCATTTTCTTTAAAATCATTATTTTGTCATTTTATATTGACCGGTCAGGATCACTCCGGTCAAAAGGTCAAAAAAAGATAAACACAGGTAAAAAAATTAAATACTATGAAATGTAGACCGCACCCTAAAGTTCATTTCAAAGCGAAGACTATGAAGAGTGCGACAGACAGCACGCTAAGGAAAGGAGTACCAAATATTGTTTAAAATTCATTCAACGAATCACTGCTCACGCCGTGATGATTGTTGGGCCTGTCAAAAGAAAAACTATTTTTAAAAATATTTCAAAATGAAATATTTCTAAGAGAAATTTAATTCGAAGGAAAATAGTTAACGCTTAATTAATTGGATCTTGAATAATACATTTGTTTACCGGTGGAGCTGTCTATTTGTCAACTCAGTCCAATGGTCAAGTCATTGTTACGTAACCTTCTCCTATCCACAACCGATAACATCGCATCAAAATTAAGATTCTCTCATGTGTAATGTTCAAGTATGGAAGACCAAAATAATAATAATAAAATGTCCGTTCTCGTTGTGAATACAAACTGTCATCATTTAACAAGCTTGTAAATGTCATCGAGAAAATTATAAAGTCATTTCTTACTGTTCGTTCCATTACTATTTCAGTGATTATTACGTAAGAGTTAATTCAATTATCTTTTAAAAAATGTTCAATGTATTTTGTTAAATTTTACATTTCACGATTATAAAACACCGTCATTATTTAATTTTAGACGCATTCGCATAGCATAATAATAAATAATTTTAAAACGATTTCTGTTTGAATTTCTGGGGTGAGGAGATATCACTATTTATATTCGGACTATTGTCCTCATCTTTGTTGTTTTTATCTTAACGTTCCGCCATTCCTCGAGTGTATACGTATCTGAACTGAACCCTTCATTTAATCTACGGGGGTAGACTGTTCTCGTTCTACTGCTTATGTCTAGGGGCGAGCTTTTATTATTTACTTAATTTATTTGCTTAATGAATTTTTATTTGTAATTATCCACATGGAAAAGAAGACCTTCCGCCTTGTTTTGCATCATGTGAACATAAAAAATGTTCATTCGATGCTGTTGCTCCTTCTACTTAATTGATCAGGAATTAAATACTTTCAGGAATTAAAATTAATTGTGATCTGCAAACTTTGCCTCAATTTGGCACAATGAAAATCAAACATATGGGCAACGACCTACGACACTAAGAAATTTATTTAGTCTATTTCGGACCCCGATATCACTATGATTAAATGCCCTGTGAGGGTCGACTTCACTGTGCTTACAACGATTTACGACAGCGGAAGAATAACCCACAGGTCATTCAAACCACAAGGTTCTACGTAAATGTCCCATTATTCTTTTCTTCTTAATCCTACCAAGCTGGTTACAAAAAAGAAAATAAAACGTATTTATATCTTATTAATTTATTTTTAAAACTCTCTTTTTTTATTTGGTCTGTGAAAATGTATTAGATATATAGAATGACACTCACCCGAAAATTTTAGAAATCGCTAGTTTAGGTCATTAGCTTGCACAACAGCCTCTTTACTTTTGTCAAAGTTAATCTAGATATTCAATATTTACTCTACAACAGGTTTACGAATAAGGAGAGTGGTTATAGTTTTGGTGCCTAGCAATAGTGACGCCAAACTTTCAGTTGATACTATGCCTAATATAAATCGTTTAATATCTATTTTATTTCAAAAGTACTTTAGTGGATACCCGTATTTAAAATAGACGATCCATTTTTACGGTGTTTTTACGTCTATCAAAGAAACTGTGACCTTCCGCAGAATTCGAACTTACGTCCCTCTTTATAGGAAAATGTTTTCTCGAGTGCGCAATGCTGTTTAAAATAAATTTTTAAAACTAAAAACAAAAACTGGGTGTCTGTTTAAAACAAGGTAACCATTGAAAAATAACTTTTGAAGTAATAATGTCGGATTAAAATTAAACCCGTTAATTCTCATATATAATATACAATATTTCTTATTACTAGAAACGCTATTGTTATCAGTACAGGTGTCTGAGTAGACATTCTGTTTTTGTTTTGTTTTTTGTTTTTTTTGGGGTGGGGGCGGTGCCATCGTTCAGTATCATATATACAGAAAATAAATTTTAAAAAATGCTTTTTTTTCCCAAAAATGAGGCATTTCTGTACTTGATGGTCCTTGTATATTCAATTGTGTTATTTTTAAAACTTAGGGTCTGATTGTTATTGCAAAAATAGTATCTCTCAATAGGAAAACCAATATTTGCTGGTTGAAATACGAATAGAGAGGTGTCTACAATTTTATTTTGAGAAACATTGCCATCATTCAGTATCATATATACATAAAATAAATTTAAAAATGCATTTTTTTCCAAAAAATGAGGAATTTCTGTACAACAAAAACGGTAGCTAACCAAAAAATTTATGGTCATTTTCAGATTCAGCGCCCCTCAAATTAGCTAAAAAATGATGTTTGGTGTCTCGACACAATTTCAATTTTTTTTTTTTTCGTTGACCAGTGTTATATATGATGATTTAGGCCCATATGCATTTACTGTTTTTTTAAAAAAAACTGATGTCTACCTAATGCACCCACGAAAATAACATTTAAAATAAGAAATGATGTATTAAATTCCATTAATTATTTAAATTACAATATCATATTGATATATTATAATTATAATGATTTTATATGCTCGCTGTTACTCGTGATGTCACGAGTAACAGTCCGTAAATACTCGTGATATCACGAGTAGGATTTATTAAATAAATATTGAAAAACTGTTAATTCATTCTCTTGTTTACATGCAATAACTTTTGAAAAAGACTAACTTCTTTATTGTATTTACTTATTACAGGTAACACTTATGTAATACCCGGTTCCTTGGCTCGCAAGTTGTACAAGGCATCCGAACGTCACCTTTACATCCACGTGGAAGACGCCTTTATCACTGGTCTGTTGGCTCAAGCCATTGGTGCTTCACATTTAGACATGCCCGGTTTTACCTGTCAAGCTGATTCTCCTCCGCAAACTTGTGACTTTGTCCTGGATTTAAAAATATCTGGTACTAAAGCTAACATGGGCCTAATGAGACATATATGGTCGCAAATTAAGAAACTACCAACCTGTGATGAATAAATTAATTCCAACACTTGATTATCCATCTACTGACCAGAGTCACCATTAAAATTTCATGTCATCTAATCACATTATTATGAACTTGAAAACTGCTTTATGAGTTCAACAAGAACTACATATTAGCACAACTAAAATGTCCTTTACCCAATATTGAAATTCTAATTTACAGAAAGTTGTCTGTTTTCGGTAAATTTGTTTCTTCTTTGCCACGTATTGGTTAAATGTATTTTGTTAACAGCTCAAATGACTGAAAGCAGAGCCTATGGATATTAAAACTTAAGTGGGACAAAAAGAAAAAACTTGGTTCAAATTTAAAACTAATTCTCAAATTGCTTCAACTGGTAAAAAATGATTTTTCTGTCCTCGGAGCTGAAAATTGAGCATTTGTTTTAAAACAAAGGCTCAATAACTGAAAAGTCCTTTTTCTTAACATTCCTTATTTGATAAATTTTTATTTCATTATTGTTTACTCAACATTTGGACCAATAATCTCCGGTCGTTAGATGATGTATGGAAAATTCATCTTACTAATTAACTCGTGTCTGGTAAATCTAATATAAGTTAATATTACAGAAAATCGAAATCAATTTTCATGATAATCCATTTTAGAATTTTTCAATGCTGCCATGTTTTTCATTTCATAAAATATTTTGTTTTAATGTCATGTTCCTCCAGGACGTAGGTGATCATAACTATCAATATATTCCTTTAGCTTTGTTATCTGAGCATTGCCATGCCTTCCTGGGAAAGATAGTGGAGTGGTTTCTCATTGCCTTTTTCATGATGTGAAATTCAGTGTTTTCCTTCTCTTGAATTGGTTGCTATCTATGCTAGAGAGTCACGTCTAGCCTGTTATTTAACCCGTAACATCGTCACTGTATATTATAACAGGCGATAATTCTTCCTATGAATTCTGTTAAAATGACGTATTTATGAAAATCAACAATTTTTTTAGAAAAATCTCATTGAGTAACGCTATAAAAAATAAAGCATTTTTTGGTAGTGTGTGATGCCGCCAGTTAGAACCTCATCCAAATCTATATAATTTCCAAATGTCTTCAATTTAATCTGAAGTCTGGACATATCAACCGATAGTATGATGATAAATAGGCAACCCTTTCGGCCCTGCGTTTCTGAACAATTTTAACCCTTCTGCCTGAACTCCTGAGATAAAATTCGCAAATAATTGGTATGTAATGTTTCATGGTAGATATAAAAATAGTTACAAGTGTTTATCCATTGTTCAACTGGTAGCTTAAGTCATTTTTCTCTACCACTGTTCAACCAGTGACTGGGCAGTGCGTCATTTTTCTCTACCACCGGTAAAACAGTGGTCAGGGCTCAAAGGGTTATGGTTAAATTCTTTGCTTTTACAGTACTTTTCAAGTTTTCTATTAAGCATTAACATTTATCAAGTACAAATATGTATTCTTCTCGGGAATTAACGTGTAATGAAGAATTATTGCGTTTCTTAAAAAAATACTTTGAAAAGCAAATCTTTTTCTTTTTTTTTTTTCGTTCCACACATTCATCTGATTTATTCATACAATAACTTAATAGAAAGTATACATAAACAAAATGTAACTTCCATATCATTAAAATATCACTGCCTGCCAGGCTTTTCTGACTGATCAAAGTTGTCTCCCCTGAAAACGAGGCAAGACACAAAATTCATTCTTGGTCCTTGGAGATTCCAACTCCGTGACATTACTTCCCCGTTGCACTAAAAGAGAATGTCGTAGGTCACTCAGACACCTGTGATCCAGGAGCTGCGGGGTTGTACGTTTTCGCCTCGCTTATATATCTGCGTGTGTGGGTAGGTGGGGGCTGTTCGTGGATCAAACAACTAACACTGTGTCGTATTTGTCCTTGGGGTGGGGTAAAAATTGGAGCATATTTAGTCTCTGAAGATTCGTCTATCAAGCAGTGTCTCCTCATTGAACTAACTGAATAATTTCAATGAGTAAGCCCCAAAGTCAGCAGCAAAATTTAGTTCATCTGGATAGTTTTAACCATTATTCATACACATGTATGTAGAATCCCGCATTAAAATGAATCTGACATATTTTCCCTTGTTAGAAATCAAATACCCGTTCCCTGGATTTTGAGCTTTGCCTCGTTTTCAAATGAGATAAGATGTCTATATTTCTGAGATGAGGTATTATAACAATTTACACTATTTACAACGTTCGGAATTTGTCCTCATCTTTATTACCATATATTTCGGCCGTTGTACGTTCCGACCTTCTTCAGGTGATATACGTTGAAATTTCGAACCGTACCTTTTATTTAGTCCACGAGGCTAGGTTGTTCTAATTCCGCGTGATGTGCCTTGTTTTGGATATCACAACATTAATTAACTCAACTCTCCATGTTGTTGTTCCCAAGGACACATGGCCCAGTGGATAAAAGCGTTGGTTGAGCAATTCAGAAAGTGACTTGACTCAAAGAAGTGTGAGTTCAGTACCTGGCCACTGTAGAAGGTCCGAGCGTACAACTCCGTGAATACGGCGATAAAGATGAGGATAACAGTCCGAACGATGTAAATAGTTTAAATAAAGACAAGGCATATATTTCTAGTCCCTGGGGATTAGAGCTCTGAGGCTGTATCTTCCTATTGCACTACAAGGGGTTATATTTAGTGGGTAAACCCTGATGTGTGTAGTAGTAACTGCAGTAGTCTGTGTAAATTCTTGCCACATCCCCAACACACATATGTCGGGGGTTCCGCTTGAAATATATCTGAGAAATATTTGATCTTTCAGAGCGGCGGCAAATAAATATTAAAATCTGTTTTTCGGGCCACACGGCCTCAGATGACGTTTTTGATCAAGTTCGTACTTCGCTGATAGCTCATTGTATTTATGAGTGTTATATGTGTGTGTGTGTGTGTGTGTGTGTGTGTGTGTGTGTGCGTGTATGTGTGCGCGCGTTAACTGTTTCTTTTCATTATGAAAATGTATAACAAAAACAAGGTTAAAAAAATTCCTGTTTTATGGAAAGCGAATGTGATATAAAATCCGTATTAAGACAAGATTTCATACACGCTTAATTTCATGAATGTTAATAAAAAAAATATGAATGTCTAATGATCTTGTAAGAGAGAAGCAATGTTTTAACTGTAAAAATATCTTAAAGCTTAAAAAAAAACGATTGCTGGAAAAGGCTAATAAAATTGTAAATAATTTATTTATTTGTTCGTAATTTCGCTTATTTTTCTTTTTCTTCGCAGGTAATTTTCACTTGTGGACCAAATTAAATCATTTTTAATACTTAACTACAAAATAAAACTTGGATTTTTTTTTTATAAAACAGTATGGAGTGAAATAAAAGACTTTCGTGTCCTGATCTGTTAGATCTTGCCTTCAATGAGTAAAGTCATTAAATAATAATGACTATTTAATTTACTGAGTAATTAAATAATAATGATTATAGTGATATATTACACAATCTCCTACGCGAAACCCTTGGGATCAGACGTCACTGAATTTGCTTTTACTTTTTCTTCCGAAATGAACTGTGGACAATTCTTGGGGGAATTTCCTCCAAGTTCGAGAAGGATTGTTCATAATTTGGAAAAGACGATCATCGGCATAAAATGTCTTCCGTTTTCAATAATATTTGCCTTAAAGAACATTTGCAGACTAAGAACATAAAGAAAATAAAGAAACTCGCATAGCGACTTATTGTTTAATCAATCTTCATTACAAAGGATCTTCTGGCCGCAAGTTATAAAATATGTTTGCAAATAATAATCGAAACGGTTAACATGCTGACCTCCAGAGGTCAATTACGAATTCTGACTTCCAACACCCACTTTATAATAGTTAACTTAGGCTATAAAAACCTTTTATGAATTGATCTATAGCTTCAACTTAAGTTTTAATATTGTTTCAACACTAAAAGTGTTGCGGATGTGTGCGATGAATGTTGGAAAGGAATAGAAGGTTTAAATTATCAGAAGGCTTAAAATTGTGTGTGTTTAATAATCTTCCATTCACAACAATTAATACAAGACAGAGAATAATGATACATAAACATCTTGTTTCAAAACGTAACAATTGAATTTATTAGTGTTTGACGTACATGCATGAATACTGAGTGAAAAGGTTAGAGAGAGTTGTGTCTCTTAGATTAGGTAATATTTGTACCTAAGCTCATAAAGTAAAAATAATTATTAAACTGTAGCTTAGAAGAATAAAGTTTCTTTAGCATGTTTGGAATTGTGTATTGTACAAGTTGGTAAAAGTTCAAATGAGATTTCAGAGTTCGTACTTGCGTGAATGTTGGTAATGGTCTTTAACGTCTGACAGCAAAAGTTAAGACGGGAGTTCTTGAAGATTACATCTTGGCAAATGAGACGCGAGAGAGAGATGAAAAGAAACACGAGGGAGTTTACACGTGTTCTGTTTATATATGGCCGTGTATCACGTGGGAGGCTCCGAGCATATTGAGCGGGAAAACAGATTTATCGCGTGCAAGCGGTTTGATTGGTTGGAACTGATCAATCAGCAAGCTAGATTGAAGGTGATTAACCAATGAATGCTTGTTATATATTTTGTAAGATTGTGATGGTGAAAATTACAACAGGAATAGTGCATTTCCTAGCAGGGGTTAACTGGTTTGTTGTAGAAGATTCCACAAAAGTATCACTGCGAATAAGTTCGTTACTGGCACCCGCAGTTGAATCAAAAGATGACAAATAACTCGTAGTAGACGTCATAATAAAAAAAACCCCCAAAAACCTGACAACCACTAGTTATCTCGTCGTTGACAGCCAGTGTTAAACCCAATATATTAAACAAGTAATCGTTTCAATACAGGAATTTTGAAAAAGTTTATGAAAAAAATACACACTTATTTCAAGGAGTATAGTTATATTTTTTTTAAAAAGTAAGAAAGAA